TAAGTGATCAATAAAGATTAATCAATACAGTTTAATCAATACAGATTTTATGCTAATAAATAAAATTTCGTTCCCCTTTTTGACACAGCACAGCGTTCCCACGGAAATAAGGTTCCATTTCCGCTGACCGGATATCGTTCAAAATTTGAAAGAAACATGCGCATATAACTTAATACGTGTACATGAAATTCCGTCCACCTTACTTAAACGGTATTCAAGTTGTTGTTTTTTGAGAAGCTAGAATTAGAGTAAGTATTACTTCCGTTACAGGCAGGCAGGCAGAGAGGCAGAGAGACGGAAGGACGGACGGACGGACAGACAGACAGACAGACAGACAGACAGACAGACAGACAGACAGACAGACGGAAAGACAGACGGACGGACGGACGGACGGACAGACAGACAGACAGACGGACGGACGGACGGACGGACAGACAGACAGAGAGACAGACAGACAAACAGACAGACGGACGGACGGACGGACGGAGGGACGGACGGACGGACAGACAGACAGACAGATAAACACACAGACTTACAGACAAACTTGCTAAACTAAGTTTTTCCGATTCAGAGAGCTATAAAACGCCGAGACTAATCTTGATTTCGATTTTTTTTGCACGGATACATTTTCTCTACTGCATATACGAGAAAGTAAAAATCTTAGCACACAAGTAGCGAGACATAGAGGATTTTTTTAACGAGCTGAGCCATCGTACATTTAGCCGACAATAACCATCAACCAGTCGTCATGACGTAAGTGACATTTAACCAGCCCATGTGACGTCCAGACGTCTGCTGTAAATCTGAAGTTCTCCAACCAATCGCCGGCGTAAAGGGGCGTAAAGGGGCGTAAAGGGGCGTAAAGGGGCGTAAAGGGGCGTAAAGGGGCGTAAAGGGGCGTAAAGGGGCGTAAAGGGTCTGTGTAGAAACACGGCGATTACATGACAAACGTCAATTGTCGTCAAAATGGTGCGCAAATATTTGCCAGATTTTTTTCTAGAAGATTCAGGCCATAATGTTGTTGTGGTGGTTGGGCGACTGGTTGACTTGACAACCACACAGCCAAAGGTGTGTAGGCAACCACACCAACAAACGGTGTGTGGACAACCACACAGGCTAGAGTGCCAACCTTAAATATTTGGCTACTATTGACTTTAAAATTCCATCCATTAATGTCATATAATGTAATCTAATGGCATTAGCTGTGACATGACATGACATAAGGTTTGACATGACATAAGGTGTGACATGACATATGGTGTGACATGACATAAGGTGTGACATGACATATGGTGTGACATGACATAAGGTGTGACATGACATAAGGTGTGACATGACATATGGTGTGACATGACATAAGGTGTGACATGACATAAGGTGTGACATGACATAAGGTGTGACATGACATAAGGTGTGACATGACATAAGGTGTGACATGACATGACATAAGGTGTGACATGACATAAGGTGTGACATGACATAAGGTGTGACATGACATATGGTGTGACATGACATAAGGTGTGACATGACATGACATAAGGTGTGACATGACATAAGGTGTGACATGACATATGGTGTGACATGACATAAGGTGTGACATGACATAAGGTGTGACATGACATATGGTGTGACATGACATATGGTGTGACATGACATTAGCTGTGACATGACATTAGCTGTGACATGACATAAGGTGTGACATGACATAAGGTGTGACATGACATATGGTCTGACATGACATATGGTGTGACATGACATATGGTGTGACATGACATAAGGTGTGACATGACATAAGGTGTGACATGACATATGGTGTGACATGACATATGGTGTGACATGACATAAGGTGTGACATGACATAAGGTGTGACATGACATAAGGTGTGACATGACATAAGGTGTGACATGACATAAGGTGTGACATGACATAAGGTGTGACATGACATAAGGTGTGACATAGCACGACATGACTAAAACATAGAAATGTTACTTGACATGTGTTTCTGTTAAACGTCCCCCCCCCCTCCGCCGTGTCTAAAAGTTTTATCTTAATAGCCAGATTTGACAAGAACGTGCAGCCAAATGGCCAGGCAGCGAGTTGCCAGATAGAAGGCGCCCAGCAGTGACAGGTCAGATTAGATAGGTGGGGTATGGCTGGGGTAACCAGATGTTGCACCCCGCCCCTCCCCCACCCCCAGATGTTGCACCCCGCCCCTCCCCCACCCCCACTGATTGCCGTACGTGTCTATCAGACCATCTACCATCATATTTATTTTACATGTATCATTCTGTCACCCCCCCCCCCCTTATCTCACTACATCCACTAGGTTTCAGTCTGGCGAAAGTAGTTTCCAGTGCGAATCTTTTGAGGAAAATTTTACAAGAGGAAAATTCCCCGGTGAATCAAATGTCTTGAGTAAACTGATTGTGATAAACACGCTCTATACAGCACCGAGTAAACTGATTGTGATAAACACGCTCTATACAGCACCGAGTAAACTGATTGTGATAAACACGCTCTATACAGCACCGAGTAAACTGATTGTGATAAACACGCTCTATACAGCACCGAGTAAACTGATTGTGATAAACACACTCTATACAGCACCGAGACTTTCACAAACAGGAGGGTCAATTGTTTTAGCATCTACATCATACAACGTGTTCGTCGTACATTTAAGTTAACACTGACCTTGGCCGCCATTAAAGTTAACACTGACCTTGGCCGCCATCAAAGTTAACACTGACCTTGGCCGCCATTTAAGTTAACACTGACCTTGGCCGCCATTAAAGTTAACACTGACCTTGGCCGCCATCAAAGTTAACACTGACCTTGGCCGCCATTTAAGTTAACACTGACCTTGACCACCATTTAAGTTAACACTGACCTTGGCCGCCATCAAAGTTAACACTGACCTTGGCCGCCATTTAAGTTAACACTGACCTTGGCCACCATTTACGTTAACACTGGCGTCTGTGATGTCAGCAACCCCGACCACGGGGACATACCACTGACCTCCCCCTCCCCACCCCTCCCCACCCCCTCCCCACCCGACCACGGGGACATACCACTGACCTCCCCCTCCCCACCCCCCTCACCACCCCCCTCACCACCCCGACCACGGGGAGACACCATTGACCTCCCCCGCCCCCCTGCCCGACCCCAGAAGACAGCTTTTATCCCCCGGGCCATCACACCAACCCCGCCCCTCTAATCTGCTACTCACATCCGATTATGCAAATTCGGGCTTAGCGGCTAGAGACCCGTTTTTCTCGCTGAGATGGGGGGGGGGGGGGGGGGGGGGGGAGAGAGAAGAGGTATAGGGGGGAGTGTTTCTCAAATGGAGGAGAGGTGTTGATGAGCTGTGGATGGGAGTGGGATGGTATTCTCTAAGGTTGGTGGAGGGGGAGGGGTGGGGGGTTGGTCTTTGACACTGGCTTTTAGTTTAGATATTCCTATCAAGGATATTTGGGATATAATCGAAATTGGGATATCAAAGCTAATTGGGATATTCGTAATGGTAAACGGAAAAAAAGTCACAGGAAAAAAAAACACAGAAAAAAGTCACAGTTTTTGCTAGGAAAAAAAATCACAGAAAAAAAGTCACAGTGGAAAAATTTTATCGGAAAAAAAGTCACAGAAATAAAGTCACAGAAAAAAAGTCACAAAAATCTTTTTAGAAATATTTTTATTAATTTGTTAAGAATTGTAAAATTGTGTATGTTTATTGTTGTGGGTTGTATTTTTTGATAGCATAAATTATTTATAGACGTTAAAAGCATTATGATTTATAATTGTAAGTAAAAATATTCTAAGATAATTAACACAACAATCTCAACTTTTGTTACGTATTTAGTTAAATACGCGGTAGAAAAGTTAATTATAAAAGATATTTAGGCACATTTTGCCTTAGGCTATTCTCCGGTCGGCCTCTCCTCAGTAGGCATTGTCCGAACATATTTTGTGTTGTTGACGTTATGCGCCAATGACACCTTTGAACCTTGTCGGCTTTCTGTTTTGATCCTAAGTTTTGTTATGTAATGAGCGTGATAAATGTGGGAAGTAAAGGTGGTTGAACTAAACATAACTATTGTTGCCATGAGTTGAGGGCAGCAAGTCAGATGAACTTACCATTTCACGGTAATTTAATGGTATTTAAAAATAACACGATGAAAACCGTGGACTTTGGAGCATTCTATTAAATGCTACCAATCTTAAGTTTAAAATAATTACAATCTACATACTTCATAATAAATATTTTTAGATGAATTATAAAAATTCCTATGCGTATACAGCCTACACACATTACATTACATTTAATTAATCCTAAGTTAATTTGCACTCTCTAAATATTTAATACATAAAAGTATTAACAAATATCATGCAAATATATATTTGTGACTTTTTTTCCTGTGACTTTTTTTCCTGTGACTTTTTTTCCTGTGACTTTTTTTCTGTGTTTTTTTTTTTCCTGTGTTTTTTTTTCCTGTGACTTTTTTTCCTACAATCATTCGTAATATGGGGGAGGTCAGTTAGTGAGGTCAGTTTGTGATGCTCCTTCAAAAAGTCTCATTACAACTGCGTTAATCTATAATCCAGATACCATGCGCCTAATCCCTATTTTAATGTATACAAATTTTATCTGTTAATTCCAAACATTTACGCTCTACTCTCAAAACCTTGCATGTCGCGTTGTTGGAAAGATAATTCACATCCATAACACGGACAGATAACAAAAAATAACATCCCATTAAGCATTGCAAATCTTTTCCCTACACTTCCGGTGGGGGGGGGGAGGGGGGAAGGTCCGGTTAAAGCAGTTAAGTGGAGATCTTTATGCAAGATTGTATATCATACTAGCGGCACGCCCAGAAGAGGGAAAGGCTATATATATATATATATATATATATATATATATATATATATATATATATATATATATATATATATATATAATGCTAAATATCATGTTAAACAAAAAAATCAAATTGTCGACTTACTTTAACAGAGTGGAGTGATTTGCTTTTTCCTTCGGGATTTTCCCATTTTATTTTTACATTGGTGACCTTTTCAAAGCGTCACTCAGGTGACGTTAGCTAATTTTATGACGTGGCAACTATGACGCAGATGACGCGAGTACAGTGTTAGTGACAGCTGACAGTTGCGACGGTCACCACGTGGCTAGTATGACGTCACACAACAGCGCGCGCTCCAAGTTACGAAAAAAATATTTCGCTGTCTCGATCCCAGAACGCCTCGCCGACCGTACACTACCGAGGCGTGGATGATTGTTTCAGACTTCGAACTCGCTGTTTCAGACTTCGAACTCGCTGTTTCAGACTTCGAACTCGCTGTTTCAGACTTCGAACTCGCTGTTTCAGACTTCGAACTCGCTGTTTCAGACTTCGAACTCGCTGTTTCAGAAATCTCAGACCGAAGGCGTGGCGACGGGAATGAAAGAAATCATTCTCAGAAAACGTGAACAAAATGAAAGAAGCACATCCACATCCACAAGCTGAGCACGCGAGGTCGCAGGTCACATTTTAATCCACAGGGGAAATGTATACATCCATGGGTAGCACACAGAAAAAACAAAACCTCCAGGGTGCACTTCTTGTTGCAGGGTGCACTTCTTGTTGCAGGGTGCACGTCCTGTTGAATCTTTAGCACTTAGCACCTAACTACACAGATAGCACCAGACTGTAATAGAACGCTTCACGGGTGACGGAGTGGGGGCGGTGGCTGTTGACACGTGACGATCTCATGCGAGGTTGGCCTTGGCATTCCGTCCAGCGGCAGTAGAGGTCATAGGAAGGTCACAAGAAGGTCACAGGAAGATCACAAGAAGGTCACAGGAAGGTCACAGGAAGATCACAGGAAGGTCACAGGAAGGTCACAGGCACCGGATCCACTTGGGGACGATGAGGCCGTGCAGGTGTAACAAGTCCTTGACCTTCCAGCCGTACTGCTTGAGTTTCAGACGGTAGCACTTGCGCATGCTCATGGCGGGGGCCGTCGAGGTTAAGGTCAGACTGACAGCTTAGTTCTGGGGTCAAGGTAAGTGGTCTGTTGCCAAGGTCAAGGTTGAACGTGAAACTGGTCTGTCTGTTTGAGTGCGTTCTGAAAGAAAAGAAAATGGGCACTTAAATATTCGTTAAAAGTGAGCACTTAAATCTGTATGTTACTAAAACTGAAGTTTTTTTTACCAGTCTGTATATTTATATATATTTTTTTGTTTTTGTTTGATTGTTTGGTTACAGGAGAGAATCTGCATTATGTGTAGAGCAATAAAATACATATTAAGGTCAGAGGCGTAGCGACCCTTCCCGGCGCCCGGGGACAAACTTTCGATTTGCACCCCCCCCCCTCGAACTTTTCATTTGTACCCCCTCAAACTTTCGATCTGCACCCCCCTCCTCAAACTTTCAATTTGGCGCCCCCCTAAGGTCGGCGCCCGGGGACATGTGTCGTCCCCCCCCCCCCCGCTACGCCTCTGATTAAGGTGGAGAATAATGTTGTTTTTAACAAAACTGTAAATCACAAATTAATTTAAAGATGTTAATTAATTTATTGATTTATTCATTGGTAGAAACGCCACTTTAATTATAAAAGTTCAGAACAAACACATTGTTTTCTCAAAAACTTAAAAACTTTCACCGGCTTAGTGACGTCATTAATGTTATAAGGCCAAGCCAAAAATAGTTTTACAGAAAAATACAGTGACTTACAGTGACGTCCCTTGAAACCTATAGGAATAATAGCAACTTATTCCGAAAAACAAACTTTAAGGCCAAACCAAAAATAATAATTTGAAAAGAAAAGCATATAACAATAAGTAATACACAAGGAAACGCATTCAATAATGGACACCAGCGAGAAAAGTCTCAAAGGTATTTGAGAGGTGTATAAATTCATTTAAAAATCAGGCACGGCGTAGTTACAATTAATATGGTTATAAAATCCTGTCTGTATGGTTTTTTTCTGACTTTACTAAAGATTGGGTGTATTTGATGTTTTTAAAATTTTCGGTAACTAAATAAAAATTTAAAAAAAAGCAAAAACAATTTGGTTTTCACGTGTAATGGCGACATAAACAATGGCCGCCATATATTTTATTGTACACATTGTAAGCTAAAAATAGAAAAAATAGGTCATGGTGTTTAAATTTGCATAGTTATTTAAAAACTTGATCTGCAAAGTTTTGTAAACAAAATAACTATAAAGTGGGGCTGTCAGAAATCGATCACGGAGTTCCTTTACAGCCAATCAATGTTTGTCTTACGAAAGTGAAACATCGGGTTATAACTTAGGCTTGATGAAAATAAATAGAAATGTAGCCTTAAACTCAACAAATTATTTTCAAGTTCTCTGGATCTGCAACTTGTATAGCATTGATTCTAAAAATATTACATTTCTGAATTAATTATAGGCTTAAGTTTTTAATACAATTTTATCTTTTATTAGTTTTATGGTCCTAAATCTAAAAAAGCACATTTTTATTCCATGTCAACAACATTACGGAAGGAATCTCGTCAACTCGCTGGTGTCCATTGAAACTCTTTATTAAACTATTTTAGTTCGTAAATATCACAGATCTTATAATTCAAGAATGCAATGAATGTATCTAGAGCTACGGAAAAACTAGACTTAACCAGCCACAGATTCTAGATCTAGATCCAGCTCTATCTAGATCCAGCTCTATCTAGATCCAGCTCTATCCAGATCCAACTCTATCTAGAACCAGCTCTATTTAGATCTAGATCCTGTAGGATAATTGAAATGTTGACTTATCCTACAGGATAATTGAAATGTTGAGTTATCCTACAGGATAATTGAAATGTTGACTTATCCTAAAGGATAATTGAAATGTTGACTTATCCTAAAGGATAATTGAAATGTTGACTTATCCTACAGGATAATTGAAATGTTGACTTATCCTAAAGGATAATTGAAATGTTGACTTATCCTAAAGGATAATTGAAATGTTGACTTATCCTAAAAGATTATTGAAATGTTGACTTATCCTAAAAAGATAATTGAAATGTTGACTTATCCTAAAGGATAATTGAAATGTTGACTTATCCTAAAAGATAATTGAAATGTTGACTTATCCTAAAATATATTGAAATGTTGACTTATCCTAAAGGATAATTGAAATCTTTACTAATCCTAAAGGGTAATTGAAATGTTGACTTATCCTAAAGGATACTTGAAATGTTGACTGATCCTAAAGGATAATTGAAATCTTTACTAATCCTAAAGGATAATTGAAATGTTGACTTATCCTAAAAGATAATTGAAATGTTGACTTATCCTAAAGGATAACTCAAATGTTAACTTATCCTAGATGGCAACTAAAACTTTGACTTATCCTACACGATAAATGTTGACATACTTCATGACAACTAAAAAGTTGACTAGACTGGGCTTAGGCCATAGACCACATGAGACGCCCATTAAATTTTATTTGACGGCAAATTTTTTCTTTACATCATGATTAGAGAGAGTGTGTGTGTGGTAGTGGTTGGTTAGCACATGACGTCACGTAATGGTGGGGTGGGGGAGAGGGGAAGAGGTGGAGGGGGGAGGGAATCAAAGAAAAAAGTGAGGGCTACGGGTACATTTATGGAAGTCTTGTTCTTGAGATTTTTATTCCATGAATGTCCTAGCAAGCACATACACAAGTGCTCACCTAATGGTGGTAGGTTTAGGTTGGGATTAGGTTTCTGTCATCTGGTCAGGTAGGTTTAGTTAAGACTGACAGCTTAGTTCTGGGGTCAAGGTAAGTGGTCTGTTGCCAAGGTCAAGGTTGAACGTGAAACTGGTCTGTCTGTTTGAGTGCGTTCTGAAAGAAAAGAAAATGGGCACTTAAATATTCGTTAAAAGTGAGCACTTAAATCTGTATGTTACTAAAACTGAAGTTTTTTTTACCAGTCTGTATATTTATATATATTTTTTTGTTTTTGTTTGATTGTTTGGTTACAGGAGAGAATCTGCATTATGTGTAGAGCAATAAAATACATATTAAGGTCAGAGGCGTAGCGACCCTTCCCGGCGCCCGGGGACAAACTTTCGATTTGCACCCCCCCCCCTCGAACTTTTCATTTGTACCCCCTCAAACTTTCGATCTGCACCCCCCTCCTCAAACTTTCAATTTGGCGCCCCCCTAAGGTCGGCGCCCGGGGACATGTGTCGTCCCCCCCCCCCCCCGCTACGCCTCTGATTAAGGTGGAGAATAATGTTGTTTTTAACAAAACTGTAAATCACAAATTAATTTAAAGATGTTAATTAATTTATTGATTTATTCATTGGTAGAAACGCCACTTTAATTATAAAAGTTCAGAACAAACACATTGTTTTCTCAAAAACTTAAAAACTTTCACCGGCTTAGTGACGTCATTAATGTTATAAGGCCAAGCCAAAAATAGTTTTACAGAAAAATACAGTGACTTACAGTGACGTCCCTTGAAACCTATAGGAATAATAGCAACTTATTCCGAAAAACAAACTTTAAGGCCAAACCAAAAATAATAATTTGAAAAGAAAAGCATATAACAATAAGTAATACACAAGGAAACGCATTCAATAATGGACACCAGCGAGAAAAGTCTCAAAGGTATTTGAGAGGTGTATAAATTCATTTAAAAATCAGGCACGGCGTAGTTACAATTAATATGGTTATAAAATCCTGTCTGTATGGTTTTTTTCTGACTTTACTAAAGATTGGGTGTATTTGATGTTTTTAAAATTTTCGGTAACTAAATAAAAATTAAAAAAAAAGCAAAAACAATTTGGTTTTCACGTGTAATGGCGACATAAACAATGGCCGCCATATATTTTATTGTACACATTGTAAGCTAAAAATAGAAAAAATAGGTCATGGTGTTTAAATTTGCATAGTTATTTAAAAACTTGATCTGCAAAGTTTTGTAAACAAAATAACTATAAAGTGGGGCTGTCAGAAATCGATCACGGAGTTCCTTTACAGCCAATCAATGTTTGTCTTACGAAAGTGAAACATCGGGTTATAACTTAGGCTTGATGAAAATAAATAGAAATGTAGCCTTAAACTCAACAAATTATTTTCAAGTTCTCTGGATCTGCAACTTGTATAGCATTGATTCTAAAAATATTACATTTCTGAATTAATTATAGGCTTAAGTTTTTAATACAATTTTATCTTTTATTAGTTTTATGGTCCTAAATCTAAAAAAGCACATTTTTATTCCATGTCAACAACATTACGGAAGGAATCTCGTCAACTCGCTGGTGTCCATTGAAACTCTTTATTAAACTATTTTAGTTCGTAAATATCACAGATCTTATAATTCAAGAATGCAATGAATGTATCTAGAGCTACGGAAAAACTAGACTTAACCAGCCACAGATTCTAGATCTAGATCCAGCTCTATCTAGATCCAGCTCTATCTAGATCCAGCTCTATCCAGATCCAACTCTATCTAGAACCAGCTCTATTTAGATCTAGATCCTGCTCTATCTAGATCTAGAATCTATGCCACTAAACTATTATAGGCCTTAATTATTTTATGTAAATCTGAGTTTATTTAGCTAAGAAGTTGGCTAATTTGGGATATAATTTAATTTGAAATACTATGGCCTTTTCGCGTAACTCAAGTTTCTAACGCGGACTCTTCGCAAACTATCCACTACATTTACACCAAACCGGAAGTAGCCAGATAGTTGAGTTGATAGTGTAATAATTACCATGCGGGTGGTACGGGTTAGAGACACATTATGCTTATGTGAATTTGTGTTCCATTCATTTTTTTAGATGATAAAGTTGCTTATCGCGACTTGGCGGGACACGGGACAGGTGAAGTAGAGTTCACCTGTTTCTGTGTTCTCAGCATATGAAGGAATAGTGTGGTAAGACCCATGCTCCGCCGAAATCGGTGTTTTTAAAAGACAAAAACATGTCTGTGGTGTGACGTCTTTTTAAATGTGGGGTCTGACTTTTTGTGATGACGTGTAACAGTGGGAAGGGGAGGGGAAAGATATAAGTCGTCAAATAAACATGACGTCATTTATGGTGACCCCCCCCCCCCGAAACACATGGTTATTCAAGAGCAAGGGGTAGTCTAGTATCTGTTAAAAGTAGCACTCAAATATCCATTAAAAGTAAGCACTTAAATATCCGTTAAAGGTAAGCACTTAAATATCCGTTAAAGGTAAGCACTTAAATATCCGTTAAAAGTAAGCACTTAAATGTCCGTTAAAAGTAAGCACTTAAATATCCGTTAAAGGTAAGCACTTAAATATCCGTTAAAAGTAAGCACTTAAATGTCCGTTAAAAGTAAGCACTTAAATATCCGTTAAAGGTAAGCACTTAAATATCCGTTAAAAGTAAGCACTTAAATGTCCGTTAAAAGTAAGCACTTAAATATCCGTTAAAAGTAAGCACTTAAATGTCCGTTAAAAGTAAGCACTTAAATGTCCGTTAAAAGTAAGCACTTAAATGTCCGTTAAAAGTAAGCACTTAAATGTCCATTAAAAGTAAGCTCTTAAATATCCGGTAAAATTTAAAAAAAATGTGGAAAAAAAACCCAAATAAATAAAGCTCAAATGTCAAGTTCTACACACAAATCAAATGCCAAGTTCTACACACAAATCAAATGTCAAGTTCTACACACAAATCAAATGTCAAGTTCTACACACAAATCAAATGTCAAGTTCTACACACAAATCAAATGTCAAGTTCTACACACAAATCAAATGTCAAGTTCTACACACAAATCAAACAAATGTTACAATAGAGGCGAGCTAAAAAACTTTGTGGTGAACTGACGTCATAGTCTTGGTAAGTGGAGTTTGATGGGGGGGGGGGGGGTGGGGAGGGGGGGTGCAGGGGTTTCTGAACCTTATTAATACATAAGTGTGGCAAAATTCGTGTGTTATTGATGGTTCAAGGCCAGTGTGTTATTGAAGGTTCAAGGTCAGTGTGTTATCGATGGTCCAAGGTCAGATTGTTATTGATGGAGATATTATCTGACGAGGTCCGTGTGTAGATATTAACTGACGAGGTCCGTGTGTAGATATTATCTGGTGAGGGCCGTGTGTAGATATTATCTGACGAGGTCCGTGTGTAGATATTATCTGGTGAGGGCCGTGTGTAGATATTATCTGACGAGGTCGGTGTGTAGATATTATCTGACGAGGTCCGTGTGCAGATATTATCTGACGAGGTCCGTGTGTAGATATTATCTGACGAGGTCCGTGTGTAGATATTATCTGACGAGGTCGGTGTGTAGATATTATCTGACGAGGTCCGTGTGCAGATATTATCTGACGAGGTCCGTGTGTAGATATTATCTCACGAGGTCCGTGTGTAGATATTATCTGACGAGGTCCGTGTGTAGATATTATCTGACGAGGTCCGTGTGTAGATATTATCTGACGAGGTCGGTGTGTAGATATTATCTGGTGAGGTCCGTGTGTAGATATTATCTAGCGAGGTCGGTGTGTCGATATTATCATGTCGTTCATGTTAAATTGTCCAAAAGTTTTTGTCTACCGACCTGAAAGGTTCTATATTTATCTCTCTAATGATCAATTAAAATAATTTACACCAATCATTTTATACAAGGGGAGATAAACCTGTAACGGCGGCAACAGGTGCGGCAGGGAATAAAATACCGCCAGAAATGTTGACTTATCCTAAAAGATAATTGAAATGTTGAGTTATCCTGTAGGATAATTGAAATGTTGACTTATCCTACAGGATAATTGAAATGTTGAGTTATCCTACAGGATAATTGAAATGTTGACTTATCCTAAAGGATAATTGAAATGTTGACTTATCCTAAAGGATAATTGAAATGTTGACTTATCCTACAGGATAATTGAAATGTTGACTTATCCTAAAGGATAATTGAAATGTTGACTTATCCTAAAGGATAATTGAAATGTTGACTTATCCTAAAAGATTATTGAAATGTTGACTTATCCTAAAAAGATAATTGAAATGTTGACTTATCCTAAAGGATAATTGAAATGTTGACTTATCCTAAAAGATAATTGAAATGTTGACTTATCCTAAAATATATTGAAATGTTGACTTATCCTAAAGGATAATTGAAATCTTTACTAATCCTAAAGGGTAATTGAAATGTTGACTTATCCTAAAGGATACTTGAAATGTTGACTGATCCTAAAGGATAATTGAAATCTTTACTAATCCTAAAGGATAATTGAAATGTTGACTTATCCTAAAAGATAATTGAAATGTTGACTTATCCTAAAGGATAACTCAAATGTTAACTTATCCTAGATGGCAACTAAAACTTTGACTTATCCTACACGATAAATGTTGACATACTTCATGACAACTAAAAAGTTGACTAGACTGGGCTTAGGCCATAGACCACATGAGACGCCCATTAAATTTTATTTGACGGCAAATTTTTTCTTTACATCATGATTAGAGAGAGTGTGTGTGTGGTAGTGGTTGGTTAGCACATGACGTCACGTAATGGTGGGGTGGGGGAGAGGGGAAGAGGTGGAGGGGGGAGGGAATCAAAGAAAAAAGTGAGGGCTACGGGTACATTTATGGAAGTCTTGTTCTTGAGATTTTTATTCCATGAATGTCCTAGCAAGCACATACACAAGTGCTCACCTAATGGTGGTAGGTTTAGGTTGGGATTAGGTTTCTGTCATCTGGTCAGGTAGGTTTAGTTAAGGTAAGCTATTGACTGGTAGGTTTTGTTAAGGGTGACGAAATCCAGTAATGACGCAAGAATAAAACCTTGATTAAAACATTTTGGTTAGAAACAATAGTACAAGCTTTAGTTGTTGAAACAATAGTACAAGCTTTAGTTGTTGAAACAA